TCCGTGGGAGCACAGATGTTCCAGAATCAGATGCTGTTCAAGCATGTAGAAGAGTCGGTGCCACCTTTGTTATTATCTTATTTTTCTTATAAAAAAAGGATGACAAGAGTTTGGTTGGTATCTGAATTTTACTGAAATTGTTTTGAATGCAGTTGTTGGGAGAGAGACAGAGCCCAAATGTGTTGCGGTTTCTTGAAGCGATTAGTGGGTATATTCTTTCTCCAGAATGCTTTTATTATAAATGGCAAGACTTGTCAGGCATTTTTGAGATGAACATGTTGATCTTTTAGAAGTCTAATTTGTGGTTGCTTACAAATGTTAAAAGATTCTGTTAAAAACAGACTAGGATATTTTCTCGAAATACGGGATGCATCTTTGTTCATAAGCTGCTCACTGCTAACTATCACCTATAATATAAATGCATATTTTGTGCACCGTATTAGACAACACTAAACAATACAAATTGCTAAATTTTAGGTTAGCTGCTTTTTCTTTCTTAATCCTGTATGCTGCTGTCAAATACTGCATACCAAACAGGCTACAAAGATTTCATGTTATCTGTCGTTTCACAGGAGACCGGATATTAGTGAGGGCTTGAGGAGACTACAGTGCCGATCCTTGATATTTGTAGGAGAAAACTCTCCTTTCCACTTTGAGGCTCTCCATATGACTTCGAAGCTAGATAGAAGATTCAGTGCCTTAGTTGAGGTATGCTAAACTTTTAATCACTCTCTTGTTTACTTTGGCAGAAGATGAGCATTACATAGATGTACCATCTCTGGTTATTCAGGTTCAATCATGTGGTTCGATGGTCACGGAAGAACAACCAGATGCCATGTTAATACCACTGGAATATTTCCTCGTGGGTTGCGGGTTCTACAGGCCATCTCAATACAGTGTCAGCCCGAGAAGCCCCTTGAGTCCAACTAGCATCTCACCCGAGCTTTTCTCGCCAGAAAGCATGGGATTGAAGCTAAAACCAATCAAAACTAGAATTCCTACAGAAGTCTAAGGGAAGATGGTAAGCAAGTTTTTGTAATCTCATGTACACGTGTCATTGGAAGAACGTAGTAGGGTGAGAAAGTTATATAAGATGGTTGTAGATAACAAAAAGAAACGAAAGACATACAAGACAAAAGTGATAAAAAAATTTCTTATTTATTTAGAATCAGAAAGTGATCTGTACAATACTTGAATAATTATTGTTTATGACAATAAAGCAGGCAAGAATAATGAGAGGTGGGAGAAGATTTTTCATAACTGTCGTGTTGAATTTTTACTTTGTTTCTTTCTACTAAAGAATATGTTCTCTTTTGTTCTTTTCCAATGGATTCCAGTTATCTGATAAGGTAATGGATTAGTTAGTAGTGCCAACTACAAACCCTAAAATTTGGTGGTTATCAATTAGCTAAAATGTGGTAGGGGCATCTGGATTCCCTTTGTGATAATGCTTTTTCTCTAGTCATTTTGATAATGATTTGATTGAACCTTCTTTGAGAATCTTTGTCCTATAGATTGAAAATAAATGAAAGAGAAAGGAAACAATAACAAAGGAAATTATTTTTTCTGATGGGTAGATAATCCCTTCTAAGCTTCCATAGTTTTCCTCGTTACGCACTACTAAACATCATTTTAACATTTCTTTTCTAATAATTGAAGCCTTATAAAAAAAATATGTATCTATTTACTATGTTTTAAAATAGAAGGACGGATGGCCACGGGAGGATGATAGAAAGTTGGGATTAATCACTTACAGAGTGTTTTGTGGGGATTAAAATTAGATTTTTAGTGGATTGTGATAGAAGTTTTGAATTATGTGGTTGAAAAGATGTGAGACTCATGAAATATGTGATTAATATTGATTGTTTGACTTTAATTGAGATTAAAATCAAATTTTAATCTCAACCAAACAAGCCATTAGTTTTGATAAGAGAGACAATGTACTAAGAAATCGCAACTTATTATAACTTTATTTACAAAAATCGGCCTACTAATGAGACCGGGTAAGAAGGAGAAATAAGATGATATAATTTAACACGATATTAGAGCAGATAAAAATAAATAAATTGAATCTTATAGCCCCATTTATGAAATTGTTCGTGTTGATTTGTTTAAGATCTTTCATTAAAAAATAATAAAAAATGTACAATGACAATGTACAAAAGCACTGAATTTTTCAATTTTTGTTTAAATTCATAGAGGGAGATTATTCATCAAATTAAAGAGATGTCTGGTTGTAACAAGGAAATGTTCAACAATTTCTCAGGAAGTGCTCAGCAATTGGAAGTCACAATCAGACAATATTGTTTTCGAATAATGCTATCTAGTTCGAAAATAGAACAGTTACTCTTTGTTAACAAGTAAAATAGTAAATTTTAATGTTGTTTTCAAAAATAAAAAAATAAACGACTGTTTTATTTTCATTGTAACAAAGAGTTATTTTCGAAAGTAATTGTTTTTACTTCAAAATAAGAAAAGAGTATTGTTAGGCAAATTGTTGTCAAACGACCTCCCGTCCAATGATGTAAATTCATTATTTATCGAGTCGGCATCGACCATATGACCGAAATAGTATATCGACACCACAATTATCTAAGCAAATCCTATAATCTATTTCAACAATTTGAAGTAACTTAATTTAATTAGTGCTGCTCATAGCCCGATCCAAAACCCTTGGATGACCTTTTGGTTGACAACCCATTTATACTATCTATTGGGCCTTATTACCTGTTAACCTAAAGCCCACACCTCTACGTTATATATGTTGTCTGTTACTGTTGCACTTCAGTGTGTGTGAAATTGGTTTTTTTACTACAATCATGCTAGGGTATCAGAAAGAATTTGACACTTTAGGTGACATACACTCACAGTTGGGGTGGGTGGGGGGATTTTTTGCATTTTATATTCATGTGGGTACCATGCGGGGCCCATGCACATGTGAGAGTAGGTCATCCAAGATGTCAAATTCTTTCTGGCAACATGACTTAATTCTTTTTACTAGCCCCCTTTGGTTGAGAGAAAACGACGGTTCTGTTACTGGTTTTCTGGCTTCATGCTTTTTGGTTCCAATGCTTTGTTTCTTCTCCTTTCCTTAACCTTTGTGGCTAAAACAAAAAACTTCACACGTATCCCTTTGTGGGCAATCGGAGAAAGAGCAACCAGATTTTGGGGTGCATTGGTTTATGGTTTTTGATAAGTGTATTTTCTACACTTATTCAAGGCTTAAAACTATAGAATTTTATTGATTTTTTTTAAAATTTTTACATAATTTATGTTATATTAAATTGTGCAGGTAAAACTTTATGTTTGATGAAGAATTAGAAAAAAAGCAAAATATGGTGAAAATGGTAAAATTCAAAGTTCGAGGATCAAATTACAAATACTCAAGAAGATACTTTGAAGATTGGTAAGAGACAATTGGATTGAAATTAGAATTCAAAAAGGAATGGAACATGATCAAAGTATTATCAAAATCAATTTCCAATCGCTCAAGATATATTCCAGATTTTTAGCTGAATATTGAGATCCATTTTTGGCATAGTAAACTTCCGAATTGGAAAAACTCTATTTCAATCAAAGTTATAACCCTTTAAGTTATCTTTCCAACACACTTTGAATCGCTTCAATCGGATATCAGAAGAGAAATTTATGACTAAAATACAGACTGTTGTGCAGAGACAAAAAATCCGCTCGTGAAGGCGACTTTCCTTATTCGATTAGAACTCTTTTGAAAACCAATTTGGACGTGATTTTCAACCAATTTTCGGCTCCTATAAAAAGAGAACAGCAGAATACATATCGAGAACCTACCTCGACCTAAAAATCTCTATATTATACATATTTTGGAAGCGAAGAACATGGCTAACAACGTGGAATCAAGACGAATTACATAGGATATTGAAAATTCTTCATCCGGATTCAAGTTTCACATCAAGAACGTGGATTTTTCCTATTTTTTCCATCTTTCTTATTTTCGGGTGATATTTTTTCCAATTATTTTTGTGTAATTTGATTTCTACAATATGATGGCTAAATTCTCTTGTATTGGATGGATGATGAAGCTAATTAATTTTTAGTTTTTAATTCGATATCATGTATTTTTAATTTAATTCTTGGATTGTGATTTCATAAACATATATGAATTTATTGTTTTTAATGTTTGCGCACCATTATGACAATTAGTTGCTTATTCGTAGTGTTGGAAAACTCACGGTAGGTAGAACACTGTTTATGGAATACACGGACAATAAATATTAGGAATAATATTTATGGCGTGTGCGGTCATATGTGATAATCCTAAACGTCAATGCTTGCTTGTCATATNGAATCAATGCATGTTTTTCATATGAATTCGAACTAGGAATAGGATCGAGTCGTGTTAAACATAGGTTTAATATATCTTGGAAAAGAATATTGAATAACAATGGATTATCAATTGTCTTGAAATCCTGAATTTACTAGATTACGAATTAAGAATTGAAATAAATGGCAATAGGGGGATTCACGATTCCAATACAAACATTTACATAATAAATAAATATTTCATTTGTTTTGTTAGTTTATGATTATTATAGATTGCATACAAATCATCTCTTTTTTATATTACCACACTTCGAACTTAATAGTAGCTACTGAACTACAATTAGACCTTATTCCTCATCGAAACGATACTTTTAACTCACAAATCTTATTACTCGTACAACGATCCCGTACGCTTGCGGGTTTCACGCGAAAAGTTTTGGCTCGACATTGTGGTGATCGATTGGTTGATATTGAGCCCGAATCCTTGGTGATTGGAGATCCTCCTTCAACAAGTATCATCCAAACATATTTGGGAATTAGGCTTAGCCAATCATGCTCTAAAGGTTACATAATATTGATAATTATATAGCTGGAATTCAGTTACACTCTGAATAGAATTACAGTGGTAACTCAACAAGATTCTGCAGTTGAACTACTACCATCATGTATTACAAAATAATCCTCTTCTCTTTACCATGTCAATTCATTGTAAACCTTGTATTCTCAAAGACCAAACGATTTCTATAGTTGTCAGTTCCTTCATTGTTACCGCGACCTTTTCGCCTGTTCATCTCTGCATACATTTCCTCTATCATTGGCTTCCAAAGACGAACACGAGCATTTATAAACCAGTTGGACACCTGATCATAGAGAGTACTCGCGAAATGAGATACTGACAAAAATAGGGTAGACTCTTAAGGACATGCACTGCTTGTCTGAGACAATTTATACACAAAGAAAAGAAAAATCATTCAAGCCAAATACATATTCTAGAATTACTACAGCAAGAATAAGAAAAGATGTTCTTATTGCATCAGTCAAAGTATTAAACCTGCTCAGCTCTTTTTTCTGATAGGTCCTAAACACAGATGAAGGAGAAACATTTGTCACGCATTTAGAAAGCAGTAAATGTAACCTTAGCAAAAACACTGAAAGCAAACAAGAATTTTGACAAAAACACAAATATCAAGTATTCTCCAGAGTAACTGAAATTCTAAGTACTCTCCAGAGTGGAGATGGAACTTGATTTTCATCACAAACACGTATATCTTGTTTTATAGGAGATCTTCGTACCTGGCTTCTCGTCAATCCACTTTTTAAAGCGAGCAAATGCTTCTCTGCGTCCTTGGGGTATCTGAAATCCAGAAGATTTCTAGTTTAAATGAAATCCAGGTTGCCAATAAACGATGTAATCAGAAAATTAGTTTTCCTATTAACCAACTTGTATGGAACACGAGCTACCTTTTTATTGGTATAAAGTACATATACATGTCCTCAGGATCAAACTCAATGTCTTTGCATATGCATTTTAGGCAAAAAGACAATATTAGAGAGAAGGTCCCCACCAAAAGGATAGATGGGAGGAAAGAAACGAGGCTATAACCTCGAAAAGGCTATTTCGTGGATACTAAGATAACTTCCTGAATTCACTTATGATTTCCAAGCATCAAGTTTACAAGAAACACAAGGACGAAGACAGAACTCGAGGAAAAACATGAATTATATGCCATTAATACACTTATGACATGCTTCGCAGGATGAATTAGACAGCGCTAAATAATATTCAGAAAGGAAAAGAAACATAAATTCCATTCATTGTAGGATCAAGTGTGGACGATTAAATTTATATGCACAAACATTTGAAAGAATGCAGTTTAAGAGCTCACGGGTGAAGAAAATTCTGAAACATCCATGCCCTCAAGACCGAGACAGATCTTTCGGGCAGCCCTCTTTGGGGCCTCCATAACGGGTGATCTCTCTTTCTTAGCTGCTGAAGAGCCCACTGTTCATCAATGAAGGATGCCTCAAATGACTTCTCTTCTTTTTCCCTTCCCTCACTAAAATTTGCTCCCATTGCAAGAATGTGGCAGCTAATTCTCTCCCGAAGGTTTTTGTACATGAAAGAGATTGTTGGAAGAGCAAATCGAGCATGTATATTAGGATCCAACTCAGTTACAGTATGAAATGCAGATACAACTGTATGGATCTCGTCTAAGCATTGGTTGAAGCGGTCATCAACCTGAATTCAAGATCGCAAATGATTGAGCTCAAAGCAGAAGGAAAGTACAAAACAAATAATGATTAAATCTGGACGAAAGTCATTCGTCATGTCAGCAATGGATCCTAAGCAGGATGTTAATACATCATGGATGTGACAAAATAAAAATATAGAGTATGTTTGACTAAGTTTAATAAGTTCGCTTTATAAGTAAACAAGTCCGTTCTAATAAGTAATTATTATCATTGGTTAAAGTTCGAAATATGTTTCTTATTTTGACATGGAGCATAAAATTACTTTCAAAACAACTTATCTTTTACTTTTTTGAGCTTAGCAAAACATGCTCATAGTTGCTTCGCCAGATTATTACGAGTCAGATGCAGCTTCATGGTTCAGTATACAGCTAAACCAATCTCGAAGCTTAGAAATTATTAGCACAGCACACAGTAACATACCACTTGCAACAAAGACAGCAGATGCTTTTTCTTTATTTCAACTTCTCGGTCTTGCAAAATGTGATTTCCTCGATCCATGATTTGACAGTCCCCATCAGGATAACCAGGAGTTGAAGCGGAATAGCCTCTTCCTGCTAAAGAAAAAGAAAAATCTTTCCTATCCTCAATCCCAGTAGTCAAATAGCTCGTCTGATCAAAATTTTCGAGGGCAAAGCGAGCAGTTTCAGCAAGTATTTCTTGCATCACATGGAAATAACTTGATCCCAATAACAAATGTGAAATTTCGACTGGCTTGGTAGAATTAAAGCTCAATGAAACGTTATTACTGTTGCAAGATGTTTGTTCAGAACCAATGTGCCTTTGATGCAAAGAATAGCTGGTTATACCAGATGAGCTCATCTCCAAACATGGTTCTTGTACAGAAGACCTGTTTATAGCAGAAGGTCGAGATGTAGCAAGACTAAGGGACAGCTCGTTACTAAATAGGGATGAGCCTGGGCTATTATTAGTCAAGCTGCCACGTTCTGGTAATATCCACCCATTCGAAGTGGAATTTCCTGTTGGACGGGGTATGACCGTCCCAAAAAGTTCTGGAGAAGTTAGGGATTTGCTGAAGTCCCATCTACTGCTCGTATCAAAAGGTAAATCATTACATACATAATTCATGGGTCCACATGACGAATTCATCATGTTAGTGTAGTCACTTGGGACAATGTTTCTCGGGCATTCCAAGGGATACTCAAAAGGACCAGAAGTTGAAAAGTTGTCGGGATTCTCCATGGTATTACATCTCGCGGCTGGAAGGATAGTAACGGATGAACCGGGAAGGGGAATCCCCTCGACAAATTGATCGTGGATTGGATTTCCATTGACAGAATATGATGTGCCAGTTGAGAAATCTCTAATGGTGTCCTTCTCCGGTTGCAAGTTCCTAAATTCATCAGCATCAGAAATATAACTGTTCAAAGCTTCTCCTTGCAGAACTAAAGGAATGGAGAATCCAGACATGGCCTGATTTTGGCTTGTCACTTGAATAAGAGTAACCCCGAAAAATTAAGGATGTCTAAAATGAGTTTTAGTCTGAAATGGCAAAATGTTATCCAGCTACATGTGTTAATATATTGAGAACGCCACCTTCTGTCAAAAACCAAAGACAAATTGTAATCAAGAAACCATGCATTATGAGCTTCTGAATCATGACATTTATATCCGGAGACAAGGTTTTCCCAATTTGTAATCTTCAATGTAGACCGGTTTGTAGCATGTTAAGCTTTACATGATCTAAAAGAAACTGTGGAAGTAAAATACAGCAAATGGAAAATTACGTTGCAAGGAATAACAACTAGATGTAGAAATCTAAATAACAAAATTGAATCTGAAACAACGAAAACGGAGGCACATACAACAATAGCAGAATCCCTACTTTTATTGCTTTATTTGCTTACAAATTACTCAGATAGGTGAACCATATAGATAAGTGATGAATACAATGTTGATCCATACCAAACCCTTAATTCATACTATAGTGTGGGGGATACAGAGCTTGTATTTCCAGGTAGAATCTCCACGTCAAGGCATGCTTATTCCCAAGAATCTTTCAAACGGAGGAGTGCAACCAAGTTTAATATCTCAAAGCCCCGAAAGGGATGTGAATGAAGCCATATTCTACAAAGAAAATGGTGTTCTTGCCAGGTAAACAGTACCTATTTTCCATTGAATGTGATTACAGCCCACCGGAGTAAATTATTTCCCATCTAGATTTACACGAGTTTCGAATTCAAAAGTAACACAACGATGAACAAAAATATATCGACTCCACTGTCCTAATGGAAGCATGAAGCTGTAAAAGATCTTCTTTTCTTACTACTACCCTATAGAGGAATTACAATAACCTACCTTTCTACGCATTTTGGGGTAAATATTACCAATGAACACATCACACTCCAGAAAATGGGCAGAAGTGGACAATATAATGAACAAGTACTGTCTAGTATCCATTTCTCCCTATTAAACATGCCGTAAAAGAACATTAATAACCAACCTTGTAATGCACAGTGGGGGTAAACGTTACAAATGAACAGGTAAACCTGGCAGATGGATCATGGAGCTGCCCCTTGAAGCCTTGTTGAGAAAATGTATTATTCGAAAGGACAGCACTTTCGAGAACAATTGACGGTTTCCAATGACATGCCAAAAAGCTCAATCCTCCTATAAGCAATGACTTGAGGAGAAAATAATAGCTATTCCTTTCTCCCTAAACAGTGTACAAATCAAAACCCAACAAACAGCGTTAAAGAATGCTACTTTTTTGCCCTTTTCCATAAAGAAGAATACAAAACAGTGTAAAAGCTAACAAGAAACAAGCCTCATGCTCATGCACTAACCAGTAGTAGACCAACTGACCTCTCAGAGCATGTTTGTCCAAGCTAAAAAGCTTACCTTGAAGTAAATAAGTACGTTTGCCCACAAAACAAGAACACAATGAAATTATATAACTCTAAAAAGTAAGATGTTTTACTTGTATGAAGTAGAAAAGAAAAGTAGGATTTGATTCGAGAATCCCAAAATCCAAGAAACTGAGAATTGAGAGCCTCAAAAACCCATCAAGAATCATGATTTCTTAAAGACTCTTCTTTTAATGATGCATTAACCAGAGGATTTTTAACTCAAGGATCATAAATATTAATGAACATGCATTAACACCACCCAAAAGCAAGAAAGCAAGAGTGGGTAAAAAGCCAACAAATTTGGCAGCTAGAGATTTTAGAGGATGAAAATGGACCCATTAATAAAAGATAGATATATAGAGCCACACGAGTTAAAACAAAGGACATAGAGATAGAAATAGATATACAGACAGATTTAGAGAGAGAGAGAGAGAACCATTATACGTTACTCTTTGGTTGCAGCACTTCCACTCATTTCTCTTGCAGCCTTAGATGGGCCCATACTCTTACTCTCCTCTCTCTCTCTTTATATATATCTCTATCAGCCCATTTGACCCCGTTATAATTTAAGCATGCATTTATAAAGAGTAAATTAAAAAAGAATGTACGGTAAAAAATGAAAAAAAAATAATTTTGAGTTCGCGCTTAATATTATTTTATTAAAAAATATATGATTAAAAAAAAATTGTAATTGGTAAAGAATGGAATCTCTCCTTATCTGCTTCATCGTCACAGGGAAAATATTCTGGATTCTCTGTTCAAACTCCTGTGCATGGCAGGTCCTCTCAGCACCATTTTTAAGGGAAAAAAAACCTATACTTTTTAACTATTCTGAGAAAAGCAAATACAATTTTGATGAGAAAGGTGAGTAAAGAGAGTAAGAAAACAACGTACTTTTGTTACCTGAATCTAACAACTAAAGGGTTATGGCAAGTAGAAAAAGAAAGGGGGTTGGGGGTACTGTTGCACCAGCAGTGTACTTTCAGTCATTGGAGAGATATATAGAGCGAGAAAGAGAGTGGAGCAATGATGATGATGCAAGCAAAATTGGAGGGTTTTGAAGAAGATCTGATTGGGTCCAGTGGGAGATCTTTGACAGGATTTATTCAAGAATTACAACACCTATCTACTTCTTTTGGTTTTAGTACACTTGAGGTCATACAATTTCGAGTGTGCACCCCACTGTACCAACTACCAAATAATATTGAAGAATAGTAAGCTTAAAATTCTTAAGTCCATATTTGGTATAAATTAAACTTGATTTTAATCTCTAGTTAAGATTAATAACTAAATTTAACCATATATCTTATGAGATTCATAACTTTTTAATCATTTTTTATCAAAATCTGCTAAAAAATTGATTTTAATCTACATCAAACAGGAGCTAAATGTATATTGCGTGATTTAATTGTAAGTGTATAATATCATGAACAAGTAATAAAGTAAGAGGTCATATGATCATTTTTACAAAAGGTTGTGTTTCATGTACATAATGGTTTACATAAACATAATGTGATGAAATATGATTGTATCGGAGTTTTTTTAATCTAATAATAATAATAAAACTTCTCTCCTCTTTTTTTGCCACTTCATTTGTATGTAAATTATTATTATGTGCAAATATCATTATTATTTTACAAACACTATGATAGGTATGATTTTACACTTGTACAATCCACTCAAAGTGCACTTTTGAAAGTGTTTATAGTGATTATACACTTGATTTTTCTTATTTTATATTTGATTTAAGAGAAAATTCGGGTTTGATAGAATGAAATTGGATTGAATTGTACAAAATGGAGGAACTGAGGACCAAAATAATCAAGTCTTAAAATTGAGAACCTATCATGCAAATAAAAAGGACTTGGGATTAACAGTCAACTAATATGGAGGACCAAAGTACACAATACTGGAAGAGATTTTAAATTTTTAACTTTTGTAGTTCCCTACTCTACTCGTACGCAAAATTTAGATAGAAGATGTTTTAGGAATCTTTTGGAGTCAAATAAAATTTTGCCTATTTGAGCCACATTAAAATTTTTATTATCATTTTTTTATTCATTTTTAAATACATATTTTTCAATAAAATAATATTTTTCATCACATCAATAATTTTTCTTTCTTTTTCAACCACACATTCTCCATCAATCTATTATTCAAAAATACATTTTTCCAAAATAATATGGATCGCACACACCTTTAGGCAGTGTTTGATAGCAAAGGAATTTCATGGAAGAAGGAAAATGTTTTCCATTTTCCCCAAATTGTGGTGTTTGATGCCATAACTTTTTCAAGGAATTGTTTTTCCACCACAAACCTTCACTCGTCAGTTATCCTTGATTTCATGGAATATATTTTCTTTTGGTTTTGATGGTTTTTCATTTTTCGATTTTTTTTTTTTTAGCATGGCAACAAATTCTATCAACTATTGTAAAAAAAAAAAAATTCACTTTTATTGATCATTTCCATATAAAACAAAACCAAACGAATATTATTCGATATGGTAAATTTTTTTTTTCAAATTTTTTTTTTTTGGCAATTGGAATAAATTTTAGACTCAATGGTAGAAAAAATTATCTCTTTAATATACAATTTCCATAAAAAACGAAATCAAACGGATACCAAACTTACAACATTTTTCAGGTGAAAAATTATATCAATCAAACACAATTAATTACAATTCCCAATAAAACAATTTCTAAACAATTCAATTCCCGATAAAACATTTTATTTCCACCAATTTTTCACTTTTACAATCAAATGGGCCTTAATATGAAAGAGCAAAAACCTATGGTTTACAAGATTTTGAAATTGAAGAAGAAGATACTTGGTGCAAAATCCTATTTTTTCCTTCATCGAGATTTCAAAATCCATGGATAAATTCTATTCCTCTCTTCTTTCGTTATTACAAGTAGCTAAATCATTTGCTAGGACAAATAATGTAATATACCCTTTATTTCAATTTTCAAGATTTTAGTAATTTAATTTATTGTGTTGGTTTTATGTGTTGATTTTTATGCTTTGGATTAATTGGTCATTAATTCAATGNTGATTTTTATGCTTTGGATTAATTGGTCATTAATTCAATGATTTGTGAATTTATAACTAATCGATAAGTAAGTTATAAATGTAGACCACATAGTAAAATTCGATAATTCAAAAAAAACCGGTGTAGAGATACGTTTTTGTCGTTATCGCGATCGTTATATGAATTCTTAGAAATTGAATGCATTTAATTAAAACATATTCGAATTCATATAGAAATATGGTGAATTAACTTGGTTAAATAAGAACTCGAGAGTCGTAAATTAATTAATTAAAAAGAATTCGACAGAATATTACAATACGTAATTAATCTTGATTTGAGAATTAAAAGTGATCACCATATTAAATTGTGAGTCCTAATATCCAAGTCCGTGCTTTAAAACCTAATTTAATCGACTGTATGTTTAGATAAAATTAGTATAATTATAGAATTTAGATAATTAATTACAAATTATTCTTTGTTTTTCATTATTTAGGAGTTAGAAATAGTAATTAAGAATTAAATAATAGTCTTAATGAAAACAGTCATCCGGACTCTTAGGTCAACTATATTATTTGATATGATACAACACACTTGTGATGAAAAATATGAAACAAGTTTAGTCACGTACTCTACTTGAATTCATTTGATCTTTTTTCTATTAAAAATCGTGCTCAAAATCAAATAAAAATAATTTAAGTTTGGGTTTTTCTAGTCCAAGTGTATCTTATTTTTACCACGAATTATTTTCCTTGATTAACAATAATGGTTAATTTCCTAATATGTGTAGGTTCCTTAATGAGGGGTGGGTTTTGGAGTTTGTGAGGGATTTGAATCTAGTTGAGGTATGATGATGGTGGTGATGGACAGGTGGCAATGCATGGGTTCGGAGTTGTTGACAGCAGCAGCTATAAAGGTTGTGAGGGTGGGGTTGCATTTCTTTCATGGTTTGAAATTTTGATTCGAGATTGAAATGTAAATTTGTTATTTGGACAATAGACTAAGAATAAAAAATACATGAACCATAGAAAAATGGAAATAAACAAAAAAAGACCAGTATGTATTGTGATTTCAGCTAAATTTTTTTTATTAACCATAGATGTTCGGATCAGTTAGTGCGTACCTCGACTAATCCCACGGGGCCCTGAAATTTACTGCCGAGTACTCATCTCAGTGACCTGAGGGGACTCGCACCGATGATCATTGGAAAGCAAACTCAAGACCTGACCAATTGAGATTTGAGCTAAATTAAGCCCCCTGCTTGAGCGCCATTTTAAGGAAAAATAAGTTCTATAACAATGATGTTTTTGAAGAATGTATGGATAAAAAGTAGGAATTTTTTTTGAATTTACGTACAAAATTATTTTTGTAACACCCCGAATTTTTTTTTTTTTGAATTTAATTAGTTTACATGCCATATTTTATATTTTTATATAGTCGAGGGACTAAAGTTATATATGTATTAACTTCAATTGTGAGCTAAATTTTTAGATATTGTTAAAACGACTAAAAGTATATCAATATGAGTCTCGTTGCATAGTTCGTAATAAATCATGTAAATTAGGCTCGAGAAAAAGT